AATTACAGGCAGAATGAAAGAAGAAAATCCCATATGCTTTTGGCCCCAGAATCTATCCTCAATTATAGGCATTACAAAGAGGGTAACAAAAGAACAGGGAGTACCTTGTCGACCGGTAGGAAAACGCAGGCGGTGGCAATGGCGGTGAGGAGGAGGAAAGAGAGTCCGATTCTTAAAGCGGGGCCCCCAGGTGGGATCAACAAGGGCCATGTACAGAAACGACAACACCCTCCGCCTCCAGCGCCGTGAGCGGCTGCTGTTATTGTCGTCGTCGTAGTCGTAGAAGTGGCCACCGCCAACGCCACCGCGCTTCCACACTGCCACCTCTGCCTGATTTAAGACATGGGAAAATGTAAAATAGGGAAAATAAAAAAAAATATAAACTATAAAAAAAAAAAAAAGAAAAAAAGAAAAAAAAAGCGCTGTCTCTGTCTAAATTTAGAACATTTTTGTTTTCATCATGCGATTTTAAGCTCTGTTTATATTTACGACGGAAGAGCTGGAGGGACTGGAGGGACTGTTACTGCCGGCCACCGCGCCCGTGCCGGCATGTTCTTCACTTGGGTCGGGTCTCTTTCTTTTGGGCAAATGGTCCAATGGACCTACAAGGGGGCCAGTGGTAGTGGGCTATTATCCAGTATGGAACACTAAAATCCCTAAGTGGTCTATTAACTATGGACTCAATAGCACTTTGGTCTGGAAAGTCTTTTCTTCTCTCAAATTAGTCTAGGAACTATGACATTACGATTCATATAAAAAACAGAGTATTTCGCTACCTTGCTCATCAGAAATCATGGGTTTTTAATTAAAAAATGCAAAATAATTAAAGAGTATTAGGGGGAACTTGTATATCTTAATCATCCTCATCACAACTGTGGACACAAAAGAAAAAAATAATAATCATTGGATCATGTTGTAAGTTAAGATTCGAGTAGATATATATGTCATCGCCCACATCAAATCAAAATCCATAAGATATCATGTAAATTATAAAAATGTTATATCATGACAAAATATAAAATATTATGTCTTATTAAAATAAAATAAATTAAGACACATGGTCAAATAAAATGATACATATGTTTTATTTAAATTAAATATAATCAAAACACCTATCAAAATTGTATAAATTGATTAAAGTATGCTAAAATATTCCTTCAAAGATACGTCCTTTATTTGCTTAAAAACAGAGGCATTCACCATGAAAAGAGAGGAGGCATGACTCTAAAGAGAAGCACAAGCACTTTAAGGTAATTGTGTCTCAAATCTTGTGAAAACCTTCAAACCTTTAGGTTTTTCTCAAATTTTTCTCTCAAAGAGTTCAAGCTTCACCTAAGCTTTCATCGAGATCTACATTAATTAAGAGATCCAATCAGAAGATTACTTCAAATTCTTCATTTACTCAAAGATTGTACTTACAGATCTTATATTAGTACAAATTTTTTTTTTTGTGTGTAATTTTTCTTATATCTATCTAATTTTCAAGAACAAAATTATTGTCCACAAGAACCTCTAAGAGGAAATGAATAATTAGTAGAGTAAGAAAGCAAATTTCCTTAGCAACCAAATTATTATCTTATAATTATAATTTGAGATTTTATTGAAGTAAAGGGAAATGGGTCCACTACCTCATTTGTATATGTTTATTTTTTATTTTTTG